TTTCTTTAATTTTCTTCAAGTCAACCATGTATTTTTTTTTTAATTGTAAAAGAAAATATGTAATCTGGAAATAAATTTAAATTTAAATTTAAATATCTTCTCCTTCATGCCAAAAATAAATCCAGTGAGCTATCCAAGTCTGCTAAATCAAATAAACTCTAACCATTTAAGAGATAGTCAACTGATATGATTTTGGAGATTGACTGAGAGGGTGTGGCGAAGCTTCTGGAAAAAGCATATTGAATGGTCCAAATTTTGGAGTTTTAGAGTAGCTATTTTTCATAAAATTGGGGAATTATTTTTTTTTTCATTTAATTTGCCCTCTTAAAATTTATAATTCCTTTTTTATCCCAGTCACTGATTGTGGTTTATACATCTTTTAAAATGCATGAAGTGACGTGGGATATGTAATTAGTGTATATTCTTCAGTAGAAGAACAAAATCATCAAGAAAAATATATATGTAATTAGTGTATATTAATGCACCCTCGAAATGAAAGTAATGTTCAGATAACACCCTCGCAACAGTGGCTTATTGCAGCTTTAAACCTTTCATCTTGCACCTATATACATATATATATATATCCTTGAAATCCTACAAAACCAACTAAGAATTCCACTTGTTATGATGGAGTAACTTAAATCTGTATAATAGCCAAAAGACCACTTGCAAACCTTTTTAAAGTAAGCTATCCAAAGAGACAAATGGGGATAGAAGAATAATTTAATAAATAACTAACAATAATTCACTCTCATACATTAAAAAAATGCAGAAAGAAATTTTGATATAAAGTTTCTTATTCTTTGAAGATCTTTTAGTGGCTGAGAAAGTGGTCTAGTCACAACATTAAATAATTCAATACATCAATATATTTTTTTTACATAAAAAAATAAAAGTCCACCCCATACTTTTAAGTACGACAAAATGTTCAACCTCTACTTTCTTTTATTTCTCTAAATTCTTTTTTATTCTCAACAACTTCCTAACACTTTTAAATTCATTTTTGGTTTATTATGCCATCATAATAAAAAAAAAATAATCAAACTGTAATTTTAGTCTAATTAAAAATAAATCATTTTATTGCAATTTAAATAAGTAAATTTCTTAAATTTCTATTTTCTTTATTTTACAATTTTTGTCCTCACCCTAGAAGCTTTGTTTTTTTTTTTTAATCATCCGGTATTCAAAATTCATTGGCCCGATTAATCTAGAATCGCACTGAACAGATCCACAAAGGGGCGCAAAGCTCTTCCTCTCAAATGTTTAAAAGAATTTTATACTCATAACTCAAACTCAAGATCTCTAGTTAAGAGAGAAAAAATCTCTACTATCTCATTTAATCCCATCTCTTAAGGGTTGCCAATACATATATATATATATATATATATATTAATTCGCATCTCTTAAGGGTTGCCAATACATATATAATAATATATAGTCTATATATATATAGTATATAGATAATTTCCTCTAATATCCATTGAAGTGTTTGAATTCCTTGAATATTAGAAAAATGTGCCAAATTATCCACCGATAAGAAGAGAGATTTTGCTAGTTTCAACAGAATGATAATAAGGTAGTGGAGTATAGAATAAGACAAGATTGACTAGCTTAGAAAGTTAGTGGGCTTTTAAGTGTCTTGTCCCATACAAATTGGTCATACCCCTACTTTGGGTTGGGGGTGTGAACATGGATCTTGACCTCTTTCATGACATTCTTTTGGTCATTCTTTGGTCCCACCACCTTTCACGATTATAAGTTGAATTTCTACAATTTTTAAAAGCACGATTTTTCTTGAATTTGAAAAGGTTGTCTTTTTAATGTGGTTTTTCTTTTTATCATAACCTTAATTTCTTTTTTCTACTGTGTTGAGAGTGTGTCTCACCAAAATAATAAATTACTTCATTTTTCTATGAAATTTATCTTCACCTTGATTGTAGAAATTGCAGTGATTAATTATTTTTACAAAAAGGATTTGTTCTGATATATATATATATGATAATTTCTCTAATATCATTGAAGTGTTTGAATTCTTGAATATAGAAAATTGTGCCACAATTTCCACCATAAAGAGAGATTTTGTAGTTTCAACAGAATGATAATAAGTAGTAGTATAAATAAACAAATTGACTAGCTTAGAGTTAGTGGGCTTATGTCTTGTCCACCAAATTGGTCATACCCCTCCTTTGGGTGGGGTTGACATGGATCTTGACCCTCTTTCATGAAACATTCTTTTGGTCATTCTTTGGCCCCCACCTTTCACATTATATTAATTCTACAATTTTTAGCACATTTTTTCTTGAATTTGAAAAGTTGTCTTTTTATGTGTTTTCTTTTTCATAAACCTTATTTCTTTTTTCTACTTGATGTGTCTCACAAATAATAATTACTTCATTTTTCTATGAAATTTATCTTCACCTTGATTTAAAATTATGATTAAATTATTTTAAAAAAGGATTTTCTAAGATTTTTTTAAGGGGGAAATAATTATTTTAAGAAAATATTTTATTTAATGTATACTATATTTTAAATTTAGTGAGTGTATATGTATATATAGTTCAACCATAGATAAATCTATATAGGACTATGCCACTATTATAAAATTTTCTACAAAAGAGTTTTAAAACTTTTACTCTCAATTAGATAAAAGAAAATCTAATTAAACAAGCAATAAAAATAATAATACAAAAGGCAGTTAAAGATAATACATTGGTCTAGTGGCTAAAAAATTTACAAAATTGTAGAATAATAACTAAAATATATAAAAGTTATTCCAAAAAAGAAGTTGCTACCAAACATTATCTATAAATGATATGTTCTAAACCTAATTTAATAGCGTTTTTCAATTAATAACAAAACCAAATAAAATAGCATAGAATTGCTAGCTATGGGGTTCGAACCCATGCGCACTTATGTGCAGAAGATCTTAAGTCTTCCCCCTTAACCTCTCGGGCAAACTAGCGGACGTCACCATGCGTGAAGATTTAACATATTGACACAAGAGTACTAAAATTATACATTAGTGATTGAAATTTATTCTTCTTTTTTACATCAGATACTATTTTTTTATACAAAAAATTATTAAAAGTGGAGCTATCAACTATGAAGTGTAACGTTTATTATTTTCATGTATAATTTTACTGATCTATATATAATAATATTTGTGTTTCATATAGTAAATATTTTGGCAATCATATTAATATGTCCATTTTATGTCATAATTAACTTTTATATGTACTTTTCTAACCATATTAAATAGAGTAATTAACTATAAGTCTTTGAGTATTTGTCAAAATTATTATCACATTCCTGTTATTGACTATTGAATTATTATTTAGTTCTTCGTCTAATAATAAAAATGACATTTTTTGAACAGAAAAATTAAATAGTTTAAAGAGTTTTATTTCAGAGATTACTAAATAGTAGGAATATTTTTTTTTTTAAAGAAAAAAAAATAGTAGTTACAGGCTTGCAGGCCATAAGCCAAGAAATGCATAGCATGATCTAATATTTGCATCATAAATATATAATCTATAATTTTATACTTAAAATTTTTAAAAGAGGAATTATTTGTTTTCATTCAAACAGAAAGAGAGATGTATTATTAATTATTAAAATTTAAAAAAGAGTCTATATAATGATGGAGATATGAAGAGGAAAGAAAATTGGATGGACCTGCTTCTTCTTAGTCCTTACATTTCATTCCCTTTCTTCACTTGTCATCATTGATTTTTAGGGCCAACCCTTCAACTTTCTATTCATAAAAATATTATAGCCTTTATTAAAGAAACACCCTAAAGACTCTTATTCTCTCCTCTCACAGCTTCAATGGACCATATCTCTTTCAATTTCTATAATATTTTTGCAATTTTCAACTATAAATTATAAAAGAAATCTTTCCAATGTAGAAATCTCCAATTTTTTTTTTTTTTTAATTTAGAAGTTCCGTGTTACACAGCAGCTTTTTAAGTAGTTTTTAACGTTTATAATGTTCGGTAATATAGCGTCTGAACTAGTTTTTAAAGATTAAGTTAATATTTTATAAAAGGTCAATCTCTATAACATTTAATTTTTAGCGTTTTTTGAAAAATTACTTAAACAGCTAAATGCTGTTAACAACTGTCAAAATGATTAATTTTAGTGAACAGAGTCTTTTAAGTTACAATGAGAGTTTTTAAGTTATATTGAAGAGTGAAATAAAATATAATTATTATAAAATAAACGAACTAAAATGGTAAAGAATAAGAAACTGCTGACAAGGGAATCATTTCCTTTTTCTTGCAAAACCAGACAGATGCCCTTGTCTCACACTCTCACTTCATTAGCTAACAAAATGCCTTTATTCTCTTCAGCCACATGCTATTTTCCATGGATACCCAATTTGTTTTATTTTATGATATATTCTTTGATTAGATGATTGGATACATTGCTCAATTATATAATGTTTCATGAATTTTTTTTTCTTTACGTATGAAGATTTTCAAAGAGAATGCAGTTCTTCAAATGTGTATTTTTAACATTTTACATCACGAAATAGATATTCTAATTTCAATTTACTAAAAATTAGCCCATACTGAAATTAATTTTTTTAAGATTTTGGACAAAATGATTTAATATATCATTTTATTGTTTTTGAAATTTAATAATTAAAATATATCAAATATAAAAAAAATTAGGATTATAAATTTAGGTTAATTTCAAAGCTTAAAGCCTAGAACAAATCTAAACAATATGCTTGAGAGAGAGAGTGATCCATGTTGACTCTAGCAGTTTGGGCATTTTCTTGACGTAACAGATAATACAATTGGGCTGGGCTCCAAAGTTTTATATTGGGCCAGTATTTGTGTATTCTAATATAAAATCCTTCTTACAGAATTCTCGATTATCTTAGATAGCCCAATTTTGATTATTAAACGACGGCCTGAATTAGATAGACTCTGAACTACGGTCTATGGGCTAGATTGGCCCATATACAAGCTATAATATAATCGCTTCACCTGCCCCTATTCTTCTTACCTTTCCTCAACTGAACAGTAAAAACAGGTTGCATGGATCTTCTCTGCAACGCCTACTCTAATTCCTCCGATGAAGAACCCGAACCCAACCCTAAACCAACATTTAGACCCGAATCCAGAACAGAATATGGAACTGTCTTTTTACCTCCTTCGAAGCGACCCAAACCCGACAACCCGCTAAAGCTTCAAAGTGAAGCTCCACTTCCTGGTAGATACATATCCAAGAGAGAGCGAGCTCTTCTTCGTCAAGCTTCTTCTGCCTCTGATTCGCCGCCGGACCAGAATCCCAATCCATCTCTTTTCACTTCACCTGGTAAATTTATATCTGAACTTATTATTTGTCATTTTCTCTCTGCTTTTTTTTTTTTTTTTTTTTTTGAATTCGCCGCCGGACCGAGAATCCCAATCCAATCTCTTTTCAAACTTCACCTGGTATAAATTATATCTGAACTTATTGATTTGTGGCCGATGTTCTCTCTGCTTTTTTATTTTTTTTTTATTTTAAATAATTAGTTAGTTGCTAATTAATGTTATTTAGTGGTGCTTATTTTTTTTTTTTTTTTTTTTTTTAAATATTAGTTTAGTTGCTAATTATGTTGATTTAGTGGTGCTTATTTTAGAAGGAAGAAAAAAGATGGAGTTGTGGTAATGACAATAGCTTTGTTAATGCTTTCTTGGAGTTTAGGTCCTTGTATTTGAAGTTGAAGTACTTATTGACTTGTGGGATACAGTAGTTTCAAGTTGAAAAAGAAAATTTATTCTGGTTGTGTTCTATAATTGCTCTAGAAGGTCAAATTATTGGACTCAAATTCTTTCACATATAAAATCAAGTATGTGTTGTTGAAAATGTGAAATGAGTCCTTGAAAAAAGTATAAAAAATAAGTTGCATGGTTGTTCTTGTATTTGGTCCTCTTTGTTCTGTAATAATTGCTTGTATTTTTAAATCACAAAATGAATATAATATAACATGTACATTCAAGTTCTTGTATACACTTGAAGAAATTTCGCTGCTTTAGTTCATGAAGGAGTTTTTTTCTTGTTCTCAGTTTTGGGAAGCATTACAGATTCTAATTTACCCCGTGATATTTTGTCATCATTAAGAAAAGCAAAGGGTCACACACGGCAGAGCCAAATATCTGAAAGGCTTTTTACATCTCTGCATAGCCACACAAAAGCTGTTAATGCTCTCAGTTGGTCACAAAGTCATGGTATGTTCTGTTTAATTGACAATTTCCTTTCGGTTATTATTTATTTGTTTCCCTTGGCTTTGTTGTCATATACAAATGTTGCGTTATTAGTTATGACCTTGGCTGATAGGATGTCTTACATGATGCTTCGACATTTCAAATTTCAAATTACATTTAAGTCTTTTTAGTTTCATGGAAACTTTACAATCATGTTTTACTTTACATATAATAGGCCCTATTGATCTGTTCATTATAGTAAGTCTGCAGCTCATCTTCTTGCGTCTGCTGGGATGGATCATACCATCTGTATATGGAATGTGTGGAGTAGAGATCAGAAGATAGCACGGATATTCAGAGTTCATAATGCTGCAGTGAAAGATGTGAAATGGTCGAAGCATGGATTATCAGTGCTTTCATGTGGATATGACTGCTCATCAAGATTGACTGATGTTGAAAAGGGAATAGAGACTCAGATATTTGAGGAAGATCAGATTGTTGGAGTTATCAAGTTCCATCCAGAGAACTCCAATCTTTTCCTTTCTGGGGGATCAAAGGGCCGCATCAGATTATGGGATATCAGAACAAGAAAGGTGGTCCATGAATATATTCGAGGTCTCGGTCCAGTACTGGACATTGAGTTTTACATTAATGGCAAGCAGTTTATCTCATCTAGTGATGTTAGTGGAGGCAATGTTAGTGAAAATTCTATTATTGTTTGGGATATCTCACGGCAGGTTCCATTGTCCAACCAGGTAAGAGACTTCTTCCCCCATTTCCTCCTTTTCATTTCTAGAGATTCTTAGTTTCAAGTTTTCCTGTCCTCCTTTTGGCCTATTCTTGTGCGTGGCATATATCTTTGTGAAGTTACTACCTTGAAATATTCTACCATACTGGCACTTCTTTTAACTGAGAGAATATGCTTATCTATCCAGTGATAAGGCCTGAAGGCTAAAAGTAGAAACCTCCTTCACTCCCCTCCCCCTTCTGATGCCTTAGATATTGGATTTGACTTGGAACAAATGGACACAACAATATGAACAGTAGCCTTTGTTTTCCCGTGATGCAAGTTTATGTTGTGGGATAAATAACCATATGCTTGTTGGAGGTAACAGTTATACCCTTCAATTCTCTTGTGTGTCTTGGTCAATCTTCGTTTTAGTAATTTTTTGAAAAAAATTATATACTCCCTCCGTCCTGCTTTGTTTGCTTGTTATTCCTTTTTTGGATGTCGCAATATGTTTGCAAGGTTTCTAAATTTGTATATGTAAACAATTATTTTTCCTATAATAACCTTTATAATTGTTCATTAAATGAAGGGCTTTTAGTAATATCTTAATGAGTTATTAAGAGTAAAGAAGGGCAAAATAACTTTTGTTGACTAAATTCTTAATATGCGTGTTTTGTCAAATTATGCAAACAAAATGGGATGGAGGGATTATCATGCTATCATACTGCTTTTTTTTTTTTAAAATGGGATGGAGGATTATCATGCTATCATACTGCTTTTTTTTTTTTTTGGGGGGGGTGGGGGCGGGCGTTTGGCATCTTGTCTGTACTTAGGGAAGGTCCAGAGCGACCAGCCTAACCTGCTTCATGCTGGGCTTCCAACTGCGAGCTTTTGTAGGGGTTTGGCATCTTGTCTGTACTTAGGGAAGTCCAGAGCGACCAGCCTAGCCTGCTCATGCTGGGCTTCCACTGGGAGCTTTTGTAGGTTCAAGTTTGATTAAGGTTTGCCTTGCCTCCAAGGTAGGTGGTGGACTAGGCTTGGGCTATATTTATTTAGTACAGGACTGGTCTGGCCCACTCAATTAAGATATATTCTGTGATATGTGCATAAAGATACATGACAATGGGGTTATTTTTCCTTCCTTGTGGGATTTACCGTGAATGGGTAGAGAAACCCATTGTTTTCCCCATCAGATGAGAATGGGGCAAAGTTTGACCCCATTATTAGAGATGGCATGGTGGTGGTGATGTAAATCCCCATTCCATTCAATATGTGCATATATAGAACTTATGTTTATTTTTTGTATAATTAATTTTTAGGCATAAGTAACATTGAACAATTACGATGAAAAGAAAAGTGGGAAGAGGTATTGGGTAAATTTTCTCCCTGTTGAAGGGGCTGGTGTTTCCAATGCAGAGAGGGGCCTGGCACAAGAATGAATCCTTGTCGTCACAGTGCCTTGTTGGCATTCCTAATCAGGTCAGTGTTGGTTAAATATCATAGGCAATAATAGTCAAGCCAAGCCCTTGCCAAAGTTCAAAAATCCTGTAGGACTTGTGGCTGGTCCCCTTGAATAGGTCTAATCTTAAAATTGACTTGGGGCTTGCAGTTGCGCATGGTCAATGCTGCTTTTTTCTTAGAATACATTTTGCAAATTACTCATATCTGTATTTATCTTTATACAGAGCATCATGTTGTGAATTTATTTTTTAACATGAATCTGAACGTAAAATTTATATTATAGTGATGAAAATAGTGTCAATTAGCGGTTCAAACTTTTCTTTGATTTAACCTTTTTTGACAGGTTATGATGTTTGAAATTCTTCATGGTTTGTCCAACAAAATTCTTTGCTTCCTTGTAGTATAATGATAACATGGAAAAGAAATGATGATATGATATGAGCCCCATAAGTACTTCCTGTATTCTAAAAATGATATTCTATGTTTCAAAGAATAGAGAGTCAGAGGCTTAGAATAAGAATTCTACGCATGCAGACATCATCCCAAGTTTGGGGGGAAATTTTCTGTATTATGGTATGCTTAAGAAGCTTAAAGAGCATAAATTCATTTACAAGTCATGCTGTTTAATAATACTAACTTGATGAACGATTGATTAGGTTTGATTTATAACATCATGATCCTAGTTCATCTTGTATAGAAACTGGAAAGACCTTTGTGCAATTATTACTATAATTATTTTCTTTTAGTAGTAGGGAACTTCATAAATAATTTTACATTCAGTAGGATGTTTGGAAATTTTATATTTGCAAGACTATTTAGCATTTTTTTTTTATTTCTTTATGTAAGATTAGATGCATGGTTTGTTCGTAAAAAGAATATCTCTTCTTCATCTTTTACCCTTCCTCATTATTTTCCTTGGGAAAAATGACTATTTTATTCTTGTATTTTGCCAAAATACAGTAGTCTGTCCTTACAATGTTGAAAATATACTAATTATTCCCTATATTTTGTATCCGTTACACTAATTTGTCCTTCTGTCAATTTTTTGTACTTTTTCTGGCAGTACTTATAATACTATTTTTGGAAATATACCATGTTATCCCTGTGTATTATCGAAATTAACTAGTTTATCTCTGCATTTTTTGCAATTTCATTGAAACGTACAAAAATTGATGGAAGGACAGAGAAGTGTATCCGATGTAAAATATAGGAAAAAATTAGTGTATTTTCAAAAATGCAGGGATAAACTGTGTATTTCGGCAAAATACAGGAATGAAATATTAATTTTTCTCTTTTCCTTGAGCATTGATCACCACATGGGTAGACTCTCTTGAGGCATATTTAGTTTTGGTTGAATGCAAGTGTTTTAGGTGTTAGAACCTAGAGTTCTTGCATCACATCATGAACTGTTATTTTGTTGATGATGCTATGCAGTTTTGCATCTCTTTATTGATCTTCTATGCTGTGGGTTTCATAAGCAATTAGTTTACTCAACCCTTGTTGCAAATGCTTATGGATTGTTTAGAGTGGCCGCTGCATACATCGGATTGGAGATGTATATTTTTAAAGGTAAAATAAAAAATAAGCGCTCTTAATTAGTATCAAACTTTAAAATGGAACAAAATTTCCCTGAAATTTCTTAAATAAGACAATCTGGGCCTACCATTAGTAATCAATTTGAAACTTCTTATAATGAGATTTTGTGGTCCTTATGGCAGTTAAGTGATTCTAGCTGGAAAGGAAAGGTGCAACTTTCTGTGGAAAAAATTAATATAGTTAAACAAATTATTAAAAGTTGAAACAGTAAAGAGAGCATTTTTTTGGTTTATTTTCCTATTTTTGGCTTGAAAATGTAGACGAGCTTCATTCTCTCTAGAAAAGCATAACAACTACGTGAACCATGCATTGTTAATCTCTCAAAAATTGCTAATTGAATAACCCTACTATCATATTCCAAATATTGACAATAATGTTCTGCATTTTGAAAGTTTGAGGACTAATTTGGAAACAAAATTTTGGCTTGGGACTGACTTGTACTTTACCCATTTCTTTTTAATATAAACAGGTTTACTGCCCAGTCTATTACCCACGGAGCCTTTTCCCAGATACACCTGTACACAGCCTGAAACTTTTTGTAAAGCTTGAACTTGATACATGCACTTGACTAACTCATCTCTGGGAAAGAGTCCCAGCTTTATCTTTTCCAGTTGGCAACCCACTAAATTGTTCTTTGAGTGTTACTTCTTGACATTTTCACCTTTTCCTTAATGTTTCCCTTGACCTTTTCTTCTATTAGTGGCATGACTAAGGTTCTGTTGAGTTTATATTTTCATTCTTCTTTGTGCTTTAAATCTGTTAATCATAAGGAGATTGAGTTGAGAGTTTTGAATTTTTAAAATCTACTTTTGCAGAAAGGAAATGTCAAAAATGTTCCATCACTTTAAAACTTATATTTCTACATTGAATTGTCATTTACCTTTTTCATGTCTCATTCATTGCATGGTAAAATAAAAGAAGCTGTCTGCTTTATTCTGTCTGATCATGTGAAAATGGAATGTTAATGGGGCGATTTTTTTTTTTTTTTTTTTTTATCGGGGCGATTTTTTTTTTTTTTTTTTTTTTTTTTTGTGTGGACATTTTAGCTTTGTGGGCCTTTTGACAACATCAAAAGAAATATGTGTTAAATTTACGTAAGCATAACTGAAACGATGCACCTACTGCTTTCATGTCTTGTCAATGATGATAGTCTTGATGATTTTTAGTACGTGTGGAGTGAAATTGATATTTGTTTATTTGGTATGAGTGTACCATTCATAGTTCTGATTTATGTGAAACAGATTGATGAGGTTTAAGAAGGGCCAACTTCAAAAACTTCCAAAGCTAGACACTTTTATGCTTTTGTAATATGTTTACTTTAGTAGCTTGATTGGACTATTAAGTGACATTCGCATGCGTGGTGCTTGTTGACAGTTTTGTTTATGTTGGATAATTTTCAGGTTTTTGTGAGCTACTTAAATACAAACCTGCTCTTATATCCTTTCTAAAGAAGACAAATTTGCTTGAGGGTTGATATAGCGCATAAAACCACAGATTTTTTACACCCTTTACATTGTTTAATGGGCTTTTAGTGACTAGTGGCTTGATATGAATAAATTTGAGTTGTAAAATTTCAATTTCCTTTTAATCTGTTCTAATTTTATTATGCTTGTATTCTCCCTCTGTCAGGTGTACGTGGAAGCCTACACGTGTCCTTGTATAAGGCATCACCCACTGGACCCGTGTTTTGTTGCCCAGTCAAATGGAAATTATATTGCAATCTTCTCCTCAAGTCCCCCATTCAAGTTGGACAAATACAAAAGGTATGAAAGCCATGGAGTATCTGGGTTTCCTGTTAGGTGCAACTTCAGTTTGGATGGTGAGAAGCTTGTATCCGGCTCTTCAGACGGTTCTATATACTTCTATAACTATAGGTCATCAGATCTTATAAGGAAAATAAAGGCATATGAACAGGCCTGTATAGATGTTGTTTTCCATCCAATAATGCCTAATGTAATTGCTTCATGTGGTTGGAATGGAGAGGTATCCGTATTTGAGTGAGAGCTATATAACTCTCCACTTCGTTCTACAACAATTATTGGTTGCTTAAAGCTGTACAAAATAAGCAAAAATTGAAAGGGAAACTTATTGAAAGCGATGTTGTGCAGTTTTATGCTTTTCTGAGTGGAAAAGGAATGAATGAGATTGTACTAAGCCAAATATGCTTGTAGTGTAACGTGCTATTTTTCTGGCTATGAAAAAGATTGGTGTAAATATGCTATTATTACTGAACATTTTTCTTATCTGAAAATAAAGACAGACAGTGAGACAGAAGCAGAAACAGTTAGCCCCATAGTGTAAAGCTATGTGGACGATGCCCTTGTTATGATAATTTCCTTGTCCAATCCAACAAGAAAATGAAGGGTGTCTTGAAGGAGAGCAAATCACATTACTTGTTTGTTATTTACAAATTATACAAATTAATTAGCTCCTTAACTTCCATGATAGCACAAACCATCTTCAGAATGAAAATTTAGTAATTGCAACTTGTTTACAAAGCGGTTCAGCTCATTCTTCGAAAGCATGCATCAGAACATTTTGCTTAAAATGGAGATTTTTCATAAGTCCACAACAAAAAACCAATCTCTTAAACCCTAAATGTAAAAGATGTCCCAGGGATTCAAATCTTCAGAGAAGATGAAGCCTTCTAAGTTAGTTCTAGGCTCACTCCAATCGCCCGAGTCAAAAATAAAACTATTAACATAAGAGGGAAAAAGAAATTAGGTAGGTGCTTTCCGCCCGATTGGTTAGTAACAAGACGAAATTAGACGAAACTAGGTAGGTATTTGAAAAAAAAAAAAATTGCTGGTTATTTAGTCTACATGGCCCTAACCCTAACCCTAACCCTAACCCTAACCCTAACCCATACCCACCATTATGAAACAGTTAGAAAAGATTGGAAAGGTGCGTGGGTGTGGGGGCAAACTGAAAGCTGTGCTTGTGTTGATCCACCTCTCTTTCATGAGCAAAAGACACAAGACATAATTATGCACTTCCCTTTCCATTCTTCATGGGGGTCAATTGTAGAGGGGACAAACACTCCACCTCCCTTTTTAGATGCATTTGCTTCCTTATTTTATGGGTCCTATTTCTTCTAACCCCCTATCTTCCAACTCCACCTCATAAACTACTTCTATATTTATAGGTCAAAATGTGGAGATGCCAATATATTTTTTATTTTATTTTTCAACCAAAAAAAAAAAAAATCTGGACAAACTAACATTCTTCTAACATGAATGGTCCACAACACCTCTCAAAAAAAAAAAAAAAAAAAAATTATCTGGACAAACTATACATTCTTCTAACAGCAATGGTCGCACAACACCTCTCAAAAAAAAAAAAAAAAAAAAAATTAAACCAATCTGTGCCTATTGGAAAAATTTGCTAATAATAATCCCCTAATGGGCTAATCCCATTTAAGGTGAGCAACCTTATCTTTGGTCCTTATTTACATATTTAAATCATAATATTTGTGTGTGTTAAAATAGTTAAAAAAAAAAAAAAAAAAAAAAATTAAACAATTGTGTCTATTGGAAAATTTGCTAATAATATCCCCCTAATGGGCTAATCCCATTTTAAGTGAGCAACCTATCTTTGCTTATTTACATATTAAATCATAATATTTGTGTGTAAAATATGTTTCAACTTCCATATGAATATGGTCCCTACCTTGCTTGGTCCATGAAGCACCTCCACCCTCTATCTCCAAAATCTAACACATTATATGTCTTCTTTGAATTCAAAGCTCGAATTTAAGTCGAAATAATACTGCAGACCACACAACAGGAAATATTCGTTCCCTTAGCTCGTTAAATTGTTACAAAACAACTGTAATCGAGAAAACTCGAATTTAAGATCTCCTTCTCTTCACACAGATGAAAAAATCAATCAGACTATCATTGATCGGTGAAAAATTAAATTAATTTGAATAGGTAAGAGAATTTAGTCAAAATGATATAATTATTTAAACCCTAATCTATTACTACTATTCCAAACGAGTGTAATGATAATAATCTAAAAGAGTGAAAGATGATGATATATACATGTACTTTGTGGTCAAGCGGGTCTTCGCTCTTCAGGGGACCCACCGGCCAGCCTAACCGGCGACAGGAAACGATGGGCTGAATCGTTAAAACCTAACCTAACCTAACCAGAAACTAATGCATATATTCATTTTTAGGATTGGACATGAACTCAATTTAGTCTATGATGCTTTTAATTTGGTTTCCCACCTTTTAATTTCCTTTTTCTATTTATTATTAAACAAAAAGAGGAATCTAAGACTATGCTTAATTACTAGTTAACGATGGAGAATTCATCTTTTGAAATTATAATTTAAGTCATCTTAATTATGATTTCTTAATTCTTTAGTTGTCTACACTTTTTTAATCATGTAGAAACATAAGGAATCTAAAGTATAGTTATTATTAGCTAATGGTGGATAATTGATCTTGGAATCATAATTGGGGTTAATACACATGGGTTAAAAGCGAAAAATCAAAATCGAATTGATTCAATTTAACTATAGTAAATAAGTTAAATTTATTCAAAAATAAAAATAAATCGACTGAATTAAATTTATTCATTTCAATTCGATTTTAATTTAATTTAAAAGATAAAAATTAGTTTTCGATTTATATAAGGAGGCCATTACTTTCGAAATTTTTGTAAATTATATTTTCAACCCGTAAATTTTTTTTTTTTAAATTTCTTGAAAATATTAATTTTAAATTTCGTAAACAATGTGGGATGAGCTGTTAAATATGATTTGTTTAATTTGTAGTTGTCTGGACTTTTTTGATCCATTAAGTGTGATGGGTTTTCAACTTTTAGATTAATGTTATAATGTTTATCCTCTCAACTTGTAAAAATTCAAATCCTAACCCTAGAAAGTGAACCGACAAACTCATTTAATTGGCATCACCATGTGATTTGTGGGCATTACCAAGTCATACACACACCCAATCTTTCTTTAGGAATTTAATTTAATAAATAAATAAAAGAAAAGCAAAGATTATGATTTTTAAAAAATAAAATAAAAAAATTAATTTACCTATTTAGGAAATATTCCTTAATTGTTGAGTGTGTAGGCCATTGAACACGTTGCTAAGCACTTTATATCTAGGAAAATGTATTATATTTTTATGATGTGCCACAATCCTAAGACAAACTTAAATCATTACAATCTAAGTTTCAAATATTAAGATTAAATTTCTTATCATAATCATATCTTATAAAAGCTACCATCAAAAAATCTTTCCATTTTTCAACTATGTCACCAGTTCTTGCCACCATTGTTTTAGAGACTGAGTCCAGCTAGAATCCAGTTCTTTCTTTCTTTCTTTTCTTTTTTTAATTAATTAATTAATCTAGTACAGTTAGTATATATATAAATAAAAAAATAAAAGGCAAGATTTCATTTCAGCTTTTCCAAGTGACTTTTGCTTTCTTGAACACTGAATAGTATTTTGAATGGTAATCTTTGTTACACCATGCATGGACACATGGTCAACTGAGTTTCCACTTCAACACTATACCTATTACCTTTATTATCTTATGTAAATAAATATTTAATTTATTATATTCTCAGAATAAATGAAAATGAACTGTATTTTTGAGTAAAATTTTTTTTACTACAGAGGAAGATTTAAACCCGAAAAAACTCAATTCCCATGAAGCCAAATAGCACCCACCATTATCAATAATATTTAGCATTTCTCGAATCTTAGGAGAAGGAGAATCTAGTAATTGCATTAATTATTTAATTACGTTAAACAAAAAAATTATTACATTTTACCTAATATATCCTTTTTTTTTCTCATTTGATAATCCTATGTAATTCCTTTTCATACATTCATCAAATTTAAAATCACAATTTCTTGAAAAAGAAAATCTGAAGCATATAAAAATGCAGGTCAATTGTTGGGGGCTATGCATAACAAATAAAGGCTAGCCATAGAGCATATATAAATAATATACCTATAGATAACTTTCTTGCTAGTAATTATAGATATTGTGTAGTGGAGGGCAAGAAAACAATATTCTACAAAGTGAATAATTTGATAATATATATATATATATATTTATATATTTATATTCTAACTCTAGAATTCTGAAATGAGAGTTTATATAGTGACACAATAATTGGAGATTTCCTTTTGTTAGTCACTGCTGCGTACACTACTACTCAATAATTCTAGATTCTTCCACTCCAAGTGGAAATGGAAATGGAAATGGGAAATGACTTAATATAAAGGGATATGATATGAAAGAGTGTCCCTTAAATTCTGGGACACCTGACCGAACATAGTGGATGAATAGTAAGTGGATAAACCTGTACTAACAACTTATCCCCATTAACAAATATTATTATAACAACAACAACAACAGATGAAGAAAAGCACTTGTATATATATATATGCTCAAAAGGGTAAATTTTTTTTTTAAAAAAAACTATTAATCACCATCCATGAAAGTGAAAGAAAGTAACAAATAAAAGAAAGACAAGCATGCATGTTCAAAAGGCCAAAGTTAACGGAAACATTTCTTTTCAGTTGTTGCAAAGGATATATATATCATGGATAAGGACTTCACTTACTCCATAATTTTTATTCAACTTTTGTGTCCCAAATCTTTTTTGCCCTAGCTTGTGGGGTTTTTGCTTTAGAGTTATTCATATACAATGCGATCCGCGAATATGATAATGACACGTCAAAATTATGAAATTATTTAAAAGAGAGGTATGATGTTTTTCTTGAATACGAAACTATTCAAGTCTCAATATGACAATGACACGTTAAAATTATAAAAAAAATATACAAAGAGTAGTAATAGTATGAGACTATTCGGGGTTTGTGACTATCTCTATCCAGTAATAATATGATTTTTAGACTTTAAATGTATGAATTATTTCTTACGAAAGAACATATACCGTGATTTTCGTTAATAAAGATAAAAAAGTTTCTTTTCACCGGGCTTTATTTTGAGTTCTGTTTAAGTATACATATGTGAAAGGACATTAGGGTACGAATCAAGGTACTATAGCAGCAACGGCTGCTTGCATGTGCCCATACATTTCATGTCATTTCAATTTCATCCTTTATTTATAATCATCAATCTTTTTGTGGGTGTCGGCAAAATGTTTGTGAATAAAAGTAATTTGATTTTTATTTTAAATTTCGAAAATTAATTTCTTAATTATTACTTAATCCAAA